GTTATGCTGCGCTTCTCCGGGGCCCATCAAAAAGACCCACTGACAACAAGTCCGTGTTGCATCATCATGCCCATGCACAAAACGCTGGCTTCCTTTGATCAAGGACAAGAAGAAGAAGAAGAAGAAACCATCATCCTCTTTATTATGTTCAACTCCAGGATGATGATGATGAATCATTCGAGTTTTAGAACAAAAGAGAAAATAAATGAGGCCAGGAACTGATGGGTGGGGTGCACATTTGTTTTTTTTTTCTCCTACTTTTTTTCTGGGTGGAAAGTTGCAAAAGTTGATGATGGGAAAGGTGCAAAAACCGGTCTGACTCCATCTTCTCTTTCTCTATTATATCCAAATAAGATGCTGGGATTCGATAACTGCGTCATTTATGATGTTTAGAAAGCAAATATATACAGTGATCAAGATAAACTGTTGGCCTTATACGATTTCTCATCAAAGATTCTCTCTAAATTGTTCATTCAACTAAACCTCATATAGAAACAAGCTGAAGACCTTGTGCTTTAAATAAATTGTTACTGATATTTTGTTTTCAATGTCAGGGAAGGAATGGGTGAGTGCATACATGTCAGATGTCCAGTTGTATTTCATGGATTGTATTTTCTTTTATTTTTGTTATCCATTTGTGCTCTGTTTCCTGCTCTGAAGTGATTGAATGTCTATGAATTTATTTGGGTTAGGTGGGGAGGGGGTTGGNGAATGTCTATGAATTTATTTGGGTTAGGTGGGGAGGGGGTTGGATGTGGAAATCTTGACTGAACCTTGTAAATGCTGAAAAGCGGCAAATAAAGTGTTCTGTTCATTCATTCATACATTGAGCTTCAAGTTGAGTATATACAGTGGCCCCCCGCCTAACAGACCTCCCGCGTAAGGGATTTTTGCCAAACAGACCAGCTTTGCAAGCAGTTTTTCCTCCCACCCAACAGACTAAATCCGCCAAACAGACTTCTTTTGGTTTGAAATTAGTGTTGAAAATTGAAATTTTTAATTTTTTATGTAATTGAATTCATGTAATGGACTTTTTGTCAAACAGACTCGTCCCTTGCACAAATCAAGTCCATTAAACGGGGGTTGACTGTATACTCATCTCTGGAAGTGTACTTTTAGAAACAAATGTCTTCAAAACACATGTTCTTTGTAATTGTCCATATGAAATATTCATGGCAAATTACTTTTTTCAGCAAAAAAAAGTGTAAAATTATCCTTGGGATCTTGAATCAATGTCACATTTCAAATCATGTTTTCATCTGCATTCATAAACACAAAAAACAAATCATTTTTAAACTTTCAAGAGTAAAATATTGCTCAAATTTTTTACATTGTACAGTAGTACTATATGTCCCTGAAAATTGATTTCATTGCATCATTTTGATTGACATCAAAGTTCAAAAATAACCTGTCAAATTGCACTAAATCCTGTTCTGCGCGCACATTTTACAATAACAACTGGATGCATGCAATGAAAAATGAAATTGAAAAACAAAAGTCTCCATTCAGCATCAAAAAATAGGATTTATCCGTGGAATTATTTTCACTTATTAAATTCTGATTCTTGAGCATACCAGGAAATAAATTTATATCTTGTGACGCTGCAAACATAATTGGCTTCATTCGTCATTCTCCAAACAAATATCTTCATTATTTATGACAAAAGAACATTATTAAACGTAATTTGTGCAGCAAAAAATAAATCAACAACAAGACACTAATTTGTCCATCGTCAGGAGACACATTTTGATCGCAGATAGATGTCACTCGCAGTCATCACAGCAATAAATTTAAATAATAATTATTCTGTGGCTTTGAATGTTTATATCATAACGTATGCAGAATTAATGGGTTTACTCCAGCTGAAATTTACTAAACAATTGTAGAATTAAATCCTTGATTATCCTTATATTTAAATGGAAAATTTTATCATTAAACTGCATACAATTTTCACTAAACATTTTTCTTATCATTGCGCTTAATCAATCAACGTTAATCTTGATACAGTACCATTTTAGGTCATTTGAATGAATGAATTAATTAATTAATATGACACTCATTTCCTGCTTTTCAGCATTCACAAGGTTCAATCAAGATTTCCACATCCAAATCCCCTCCCCACCCAACCCAAATCAACTCAAAGACATTTAATCACTTCAGAGCAGGAAACAGAGTACAAATGGATAACAAAAATAAAAGAAAATACAATTCACAAAATACAACTGGACATCTGACATGTATGCATACACCCATTCAATCCCTGACATTGGAAACAAAATATCAGTAGAAAGTAATTTAAAGCACAAGGTCTTCAGCTTGTTTCTGTATGAGGTTTATAGTTGAATGAACAATTTAGAGAGAATCTTTGATGAGAAATCATATAAGGTCATTCAATCTTTTGATTTTCTCACAAAGGTAACTTTCCTTGAATTATGACCCGAGATAAAAAAAAAACTGTTATTTTTATATATACAGCGGCCATTTCCCAAGCATTGAAAAACTTGTCAAAAATAACCCTCAACGGGGAAAAAACTATCCTTGAACCGACTTCAGTCGGAAATGGGACATCAAGATTACAAGGTACCATATATTGCAGTACTTTTCAGCAGATAAAAGTACACCTGTTTTATTATTCTTCGCGTCTATATTTACTCCAATAAAGTAACGGGTCACTCATGCATGGTTGCCAACCTTCCAACAACACAAGAGCAACAACAACAACAAAAAAAGGAGAGAGAGAGAAAAAAATGATGGAAATTTCGATGGAAAATCCGCGATCGGTACCGGGTGCTTCGCCTCAGGGTGAAACCCAGCAGGAAAATTTTCCGTTTCTTCGTCTGATGCCCCTATATATACACTGCGGAAATTTCGTGATTACATCGCTACTTCCGCTCTCTCTCTCTCATTTCCTCAGTCCGGTGACCGCAAGAAATTCGCTGACCAGAAGTGGAATTATTTCCGAAAGTTGATGGGCTTTAAATCGTGACCGGAAACCGGGGTGGGAAAATTGCCTGGCACGTCCTGGTGGCGCCCCCTCCCCCCTCGGACGACACTCGCACAAAAAAAAAAAAAATAAATGAAAGAAGGAAAGGAGGAATAATAAAATAAAGGAAAATAAAAGGAGACCAGACCAAGCTCCTGTTTCCTGTCCTTCTTCCTACTTTCCCACGGGAAACACAAACCCCGAACTTCGAACTATATACAAGGAAAGGAAAAAAAGAATGCTTCCCCCCCCCCCCCCCCCCCCCCCGGCATTTTCTGCACACATATAGTAGCTACTATATGATGGAACACAGGGGGTTTCCTGTTCACCTGCGACACACACACACACACTATTCTTTTTCAAATACTGTATATTTCTTGTTGTCAAGTTGCGAAATCCTTTTAAAGAAAGTTACATTTTTATAATTGAATGCACCCACTTAATGATGATCTTATTGTTATAGGCTTATTGTTGGGGAAAATTAGGGCAGCAATCTTTTGTTATTCAAGAATCATATAGTCTGTGAATAACCCACTTATTCTAGGACACCTACTTGTGGCATTTCATTGAAGATTACAATCAAATGACCTTCATGCTGGTGCTCTGGTTTATTTTCTTTTCTTGCATTCAGCAAATAATAGACCTTTTGAAAGTGAACCATATGGTTTCATATAGTGACATCTGTGTCACTGGAATACCTTTACTCAGGTATCATTAATTATTTTGTTTTCTGCATTGATTCTAACCAGTAAAATGTGAAAAAAAGAAGAAGGGGGTTTTCATTGATTGAATCATGACTTGATGAGTGAGCATTGAATTTCATCACTGATTTTTGGTCAACTTTTTACAGTCAACCCCTGCACAATGGACTTACTTTGTGCAACAGACTAGTCTGTTATGTGAAAAGTGTGTTCTGCAAATTCAGTTGCTGGGAAGTAAAGGGGGACATGAGGGACTCATGTCCACTGGTGACATATGCACTTCAATGGACTGAAGTCTGTTATGCAGATTTTTCTGTTATGTGAGAGGAGATGTTCTGCAGAAATCTGTTGTGCAGGGTTTACTGCACAGGCAATACTTTGCAATTTGGCGTTCTGCAATTCCCCCATCCCATAATTTAACAGTCAAATTTGCTGGGATGTTGACTTGCAATTTGACTTCTTGCCCCACTATTCAACCTGCAGCAGAGGGACTCAAAATTTTGAATTTGATGCACAAAAAAAACATTGAATTTGACATTGTCTCACAATTTGACTGCTTTGCAATTTGACCCTTACCTGCCAACAGATTAGGGTTGAATTACAGGGCACCACCAGCATATATAAAAAGACCTTTGAATTTATATCTTTTTGGTCATTTGACCTTACTTGAGGTCAGATAGAACTTGACTCCATTCTTCAACACATCATATTGATTCAAACTGTAGCAAAAAGTACACAAATTCATCTTGAGCTTTTTTTCAGCAAATCTGATTACAGTATTATTAAAAAATTTAGTAGATTAAAAAATTAATCTAAAAAGCCACGTTTTCAAAAAGCAAAAAATAACTTTAAACGTGGTGCGCATGGAGATTTTTGGGAAGAAGTGAAATACAAATGAAATATATGCGCACCACGTTTAAGGTTATTTTTTGCTTTTTGAAAACGTGGTTTTATAGATTAATTTTTTAATCTACTAAATTTTTATATGTTTGTGCTTGGAAAAATACAGGTGGTAACTTACAATTTGACATTCTTCAATTTGACCATCCCAAAATTTGACAGTTGAATTTACTGGGAGGTTAACTTGCAATTTGACCTACACCCCACAATTTGACCTGCTGAAAGACACAAAACATCAAACTTGATGCAAAAAAATTTTGCATTTGATGTTGTCTAGCAATTTGACTGCTTCACAATTTGACCTGGCAATGGATTAGGGTCAAATTGCAGGTCACTACCTTCATTAATTTCTGGTGAAACTTGAATTATTTCCATGACTGACCACACTGTAAAAGTATCAGCTGTTTTCCAAGTACTTTGTCATTTTCAAATTTTTATGCTTGGAAAATTGTTCAATTTCCGATGATGTAGCTTGAGTTGTTTTGTACAATCATGCAAGAAACCCTTCTTTTGAAATCTCCTCTTTATTCCTCTGATTTTATTTTATTTTAATATTTTTTTATTTACAATCAAAACAACATTTTTGGTTAATTTCCGCGAAATCTTATTGCTGAATCCACTGGGATTTTAGGTATGATCCAGTCACCAAAGAAGCACTTCTCCTGGTTCGAATCCCAGTTCCCATGATGGTATCTGCTGATTACAAAGTCAACTTGGACACTGGTGCTTTGTTTGGAACACCCGGTTCAGCAGCGGCAACCACAACTGGTCACGTTGTCGGAGTTGCCCGTAAGTTATTCGTATATATAAACCTGAATATTCCTTTTTTGTTTAAAGAGGAAAACTATTGTTTTTTTTAATTCATTAAACCTGTGCTCAGCCGTTAATTTCCTTGCCCTTGGAAGGTTCATGAATTATGAATCCGACCTGCTGAACGTTGCCGACGACGCCGTCTGGCAATTAAGCTGTTTCATCCTCCGTATTTGTAAGATTTGTGACGTCGTAAAATTTGCATGCTTCTAAATAGAAGAAAGCATATTTCTTCGATCACTTGAAA